TATGAATTAATGACACAATACTGATATAAGGTTAGGTGAAGACAAGTGTATTTGCATTGACTGATACATCAGTTGAGCAAATGTGTTTGATCCAAGTTCAAGATTTCAATATTACCAGTCAAATTACGAAACATGGTATAAGAACTCTTGACTCATCTAGTATTATTGAAGATTAGAGAGAAAGTTTTGCCACAATATTCATATCTGTTAGCAGTGTTATCAAGATTCTAAAAAGGTGAAATCAGTCAAGAGTGCACTAGACAAGAATAATTATTTTTTCATAAATTCTCATCAATATACTAAAGGAGCTAAAATATGTTCTAACATTGGTTTTAGTTGCATGGTCAAGCAAGTGTAGAGAGAGAATTTAATGTTAATAAGATTGTAATCAAAATTAATTAAAAAAAAAAAAGATCTATGGTATAAGAAAGTTTCGTACGTAATATCAGCGCACTAAATAACGGGTGGTCAATGGTAAACGATCGTCTGAAATGATCGTTTACCATTGACCAAATGAAATTTCTGTTTTGACCTCCCAAAATGAGTTCTTGCTGGTCAATGTTGATTGGTTAAAAAGATCTGTGTTATAAAATATGAGTTTTTTTAAACAACCAGAATGTGTTTCAAAAATAATCATTTTTCATAATATCTAAATATTTTTTTGACTGAAAAGCATCTAAAATATTATTATAGTTTATGATAAGCTACTTTTAATTTGCTTCATTGATGTGATTATAAAAAAAACAAATTGATCATCAATTCTATGTGTTAGCCGGTTAAATTGACTGCCTACTCTTTTTTTTCAACAACAAACTAACAAACAAGTTTATAAAGTTTGTGAAAGCTGAACGCTAATGATATCAGCTAGACCTTGGTCAAGAGATAAATAATTTTAAGAAGAATGAATGCAATCATCAGTTAGAAATTTTAACCAGAGAATTCAGTGATGTAGTAAAGAAAAAATTTATTACTAGATTCTTGCAACAATTTGGATATTGAGTTTATTAATACGACAAGAGAGGTAAAGAAAAAATAATGTGGGATTAGTAATTAAAGGAAACAGTTGAAAAAAAAAGCAAAGAAAAACGTATTAAAATCTCTTAGAAGACAATCTCTGTCATAGCTTCTTATTTATTATCATATTTATTTTGTTTATTATTTATATTTTTATATATTAATTTTTATTATTTATTTTTGAAAGTTTGTTGAAATCTTTATGAATTTTAAATACATTAAATTTAATTAAGGTGACCGAGTGGCTATAGAACCTGGCATTCCTTGTCGAAATTGTGAATTTTGCAAATCTGGAAAATATAATTTATGTAGTGATATCTTTTTCTGTGCAACTCCACCTGATGATGGAAATTTATGTCGATTTTATACTCATGCAGCAGACTTTTGTTATAAGTATACTTAATATAATTGTTTTTAAATAAACTAACTCTATTTCTCATTAGTTTTATGACCTATTTAAATTATGTTTTTATCTTTTTATTGGGTAGTGTAGACTTCCAGATCATGTAACATTAGAAGAAGGGGCATTATTGGAACCACTTTCAGTTGGTGTTCATTCCTGTAGAAGAGCTGGTGTGGCTGTCGGTGATAAAGTTTTAATATTGGGAGCTGGTAAAACTTTATTTTTAATTTTATATGTGTGTGTGTGTGTGTGTATATATATATATTTATATATATATATATATATATATATATATATATATATATATATATATATATATATATATATATATATATATATATATATATATATACATCAAACCTTTTCAGGAAAAGCCTGCAGTTGCACGTCTTATATGACCGCGCACAGTATTTTGTTTTGACAACTTGGCCATGACACTTTGCATGTAATGATAATTTGTGTTTTTTTAAATGCGCTGAAAAAACTAAACTGAAGAGAAAATTAAAAATAAACTATAAACTGAAAAAAGAATAAATAATTAAATCTTAATGAATAATAAAACAATTTAAAGATAAACCAATAAAAATACAAGTATAAAGTTAACATATCATTTAAAAGCGTCTTAATTAATAGTTTAAAGTTAATAATTTTTTAATTATAATTTCAATAATGACGTGCTTAGGATGGTTAATTTTGCATATATAAGGCCACAACTGATAGTGCGGCGATGGACAAAGGTTCAAAGCAGATCATTTTGTTTTATTTGCTTAGTAGACATCGGAAAGTACAAGTTTCTAATTTTTAAATATTTAAGTTACAAAGTTATTAGGCTTGGATTCAATTACTTTAAAACTTTGATTTCTAAACTCCATGAAGTCAAACACTTTTAAATTTAAATAAAATGTTATGCTTTTATTATTTCTGGTTTATCTTTTATATATTTTTTATCTTTTATATATCAACTGTTAAGATTTTTTTTTTAGTTTAGTTTTTTTTTTTTTAGTTTTATTTCTCTTTTCAGTTTGTGGTTTGTTTATTTTTAATTTTAGTTTAAGTTTACATTTGTTTATTTAGCACATTTTTTTAACGCGCTAAGTTTTGAAACTTGCAAACAACCGTGGCCAAGTTGTCAAAACAAAATTTTATAGGTGTGGTCATATAGGGCGTTTGACCGCATGCCTTTCCTGAGAAGGCTTTATATATATATATATATATATATATATATATATATATATATATATATATATATATATATATATATATATATATATATATATATATATATATATATATCAACCATCGGAATTAGGGAAAATAAGGTCGGCAATATTTTGCCTTCCTCAAACTCTTTTAGGTCAGCAATACCAACAATACCTAATTCCGAGGGTTGATATATATATATATTTTTTTTTTATTTACATAGAGAAAAAAACAACTTTTCATGGAACTATAAGTTTCATGCCTATATGGCAATCATCAGCTATGTACTATATCAAAAATAAACAAACCGTTAGTAGAATTACAAAATACAGTGGAGCGACATTTGACGTCTCTATATAGACAAAACAACTTTTTAAAATGTTAGTTAAGTTTATGTTGACTATGTTCGTTGAGTTAAATGGTACTTCTAATTGCTTCATCACTCTCAAAGACCACAAAGTAAACAGCTGGCTTTTGCGTCGGCAATGCCGACGCAAAAATTGATCTATCTTTGTTTTAGGACGGCATACAACTGCCGACCTGAATATCCTAAAGTGTCGACATGCAAATTGAAATACATGTAAAAAATATATAATATTCGTTAAATATTTTTTTGTGAATTTTAATATTGTAATTACTTGCTTTTCAAGTTTTACATGTTTTATTAAAACAATAATTCATTCTTTTTTTTTTTCAATTCATTTTTTCTTTTTTTCTCAAATTTATTCAAGCATAGCAAAAGTTAAAAAATATTACTTTTTAAATGCCTGAAGTTCTCACGCTTTTTTAAGCACAATTATTTTACTAAGTTATAAAATCTAATTTTAATTTATTTTATTAGTTCAAACCATTTAACTAATAAGATAATTTATTTACATGTTTACGGTTTTTTTAATATTATTTAAGATCAGAAAGTATATTAGGAAACTTTAGCCTTGGTATAGCTATGTTAAACACATGCGGAGAAGAAACATTAGTTACAAAACTTTTTTTTAATTTGATAGAAGTTAAGGCTTCCGTTAAATCGCAACAGACACAACAGTAATACAGTAAGCAAACTCAAAACAAGTCATAATGCTTAACAGAACTGTCGTTGAAAAAATGGGGCTTTTAATACTGCTGATTTCAAACTGATGATTCAGGTGAAGTAATTTTAATATGGTGTAAAACTTGCCAAGAGTATTCAGAGCTTTTAAAAAAGTCATAATAAAAATAAAGGCTGTGCTAAATTAGCAACAGAAACTTTTGTATAGTTTTGTATAGTTCATACTATACTAAATATACAATTAAATATTGAAAAACACCACCCCTACTAACTGGAGAATTAAATGCTTATTTCTTGTAGAGGTTAAACAACCGGATGTAATCTGTCTACTCATTTTGTTAAACAATTTGCTGTTTTAAACAAAATCTTCGCTTACAGCACATAAACTAAATTTGTATTTCTAAACAACGTTCTTTCTATGAGCAATCTACAAAACCAATTAAAATGTAATAAATAAACTATGACCATTTTTTTGTAAAAAAAGACAACTTCAGAACTAAAAAATCACTAATTCATAAATTTGCTATTTACTTAATTTACTAAACAAAATTTAATTGCTATATTCTTTAAAATATTATTGTCTGAAGCTATGCTATTATAAAGCAATCTTTTTATAATCAGTTAATCATTACCTCTATCGTAACAGAAAGCAAAAAATAAAATATTTTTTTTTTGCCGATCTGACGTCGGTTAAGGTCGGCGCGCTTGTGCCGACCTGAAATCCTTCAAATTTCGCTGACTGCCTGTTAAACCCAAAAATGAAGCAGGAAGAGTTTCCAAAATTGTAATCTCAAAAATCAATGCTGCATTGAGAAAAAAGCTCTGCTTTCTTCTCAATGCAGCATTGATTTTTGAAAAATTGAAAAACCATTGGCGAAGCTCACATTAAAAAAACATTGGCAAAGCTCAGAGGATGTTTTACATTGGTTTCAAGGTATTAATGAAAAACGCCTCATTTTTAATTTTTGATACAACTGATTTTTACCCATCAATTAATGTAAAACTATTTAGTGACGCAATAGAGTTTGCTGGTCAGCACCTAGTTATAAATCAAGGAGATAGGAAATTTATTATACACGCGAGAAAATCTTTAATTTTTACCAATGGTGATTCTTGGATTAAAAAAACCAGAGAATTATTTGATGTAACTATGGGTGCTTATGATGGTGCAGAAGTATGGGAATTTTTATGTTGCACCAACTATCTTAATATTACAACAGGAAGGAATTAAGTTTATATTGGGACGACGGTCTAGCTATTTTTAAAAATTGTAGTGACCAACAAATAGGAAAAAGAAAGAAGCATTTTGTAAAGGTTTTTAAAAGCAATGGTCTCCAGTTATCTATCAGCTGTAATGTTAAAATTGTCAATTACCTCGACTTAACACTAAATCTTAGCAACAGTTCCTTCCAACTTTACTCAAAGCCCGATAACATTCTTAATTATAAACACGCCAACTCTAACCACCCTCCATGCATATTAAAAAGTCTACCGCAAACAATTGAACTAAGATTGTCTACTGCATCTTCAAACAAAGGAAAAAGCTGTTTCTCTTTACCAGGATGAATTGTTAAAATCGGGTTTCCCATTCAAGCTCAAATATCAGTCAGATATAGAACCCATTCAAAACAAAAATCACAAACGGAACATTATTTGGTATAATCCCTCATATAGTAAAAATGTTGCAACAAAGATAGGTAATCTTTTTTTAAAAATAATTGATACAAGCTTTCCTGTTGCTCATTTATTACACAAGATTTTCAACAGAAACACCATTAAAGTTAGCTACTCGTGTATGCCAAACGTTAAGTCAGACATTAATTTGCATAATCAAAATATTTTATGCAATCATAAAAAAACAGCAACAAAAACCTGCAACTGCATCAATAAATCTACCTGCATTATGAACAACCAGTGTCTCTATGTAAGAACATTGTGTATCAAGCTACTGTTTCATCCAATATACCAGATTACACAGAAAAAGTTTATATTGGTATTAGTGAGACCCCTTTCAAGTTAAGGTATGCAAACCATTTAAAATCTTTTAATTTAATTAAGTACAACAATGATACGGAATTATCTAAAGAAATTTGGAAACTTTTCGTTTGTTACTAAGAAAACTTTTTGTTTGCTACTAAGTAGAAAATTATCAAGCACTGCCAAACATAATTTTTTGTTCAAAATTTGCATCCTTTGTTTTAAGTAAAAGTATATTTATATTTTAACACACACAGGGGGAAATCTGTTGAACAAAAGGAACATGTTGTTTTTAAATTGTAGGCATAAAAATAAATTTCTACTTTCATTTTATGATACTGGCAATTAGCTGATTTATATACAATTTTCTTTGATGTTTTCTTGTTTTGTCTCTATAGAGACATCAGATGTCGCTCCACTGTATTTTGTAATTTTATTAACGGTTTTTTGTTTGTTTTTGATATAGTACATTAGGGTGGTCCATAAAACAACTTTTTTGAGAAAAACCTGCTGACACCCCCTAAATGTGTTTTATCTAATGCAAAAACACTAGGTTTAAAATTTTTTTGAACAAAAATTATTTTTAGGGGTAGCTCAAGGCCCTCAAAAATTTGACGGGTCCCTAATATTTTGAAAAAAAAACTTTTTCTAAAGTATGTCAACCAAGTACTCAAAAGAAGCGATATTGTATAAAAACTTCAAAAATAATAATCATTTTACATAAAAAACATGCCTAAAAAAAATTATTCTCAAAAAACCTGAAAATATTGACTTTTTTTATTTTCAGCTTAAAAACAATAGTTTTTATGCATTTATACCTAAAAAAATTATTTTTATAAAAAATTATTATCATTTTTAAATTTTTTATATAATTTTGCTTATTTTGAGTACCAGGTTGACATACTTTAGAAAAAGTTTTTTTTTCAAAATATTAGGGACCCGTCAAATTTTTGAGGGCCTTGAGCTACCCCTAAAAATAATTTTTGTTCAAAAAAATTTTAAACCTAGTGTTTTTGCATTAGATAAAACACATTTAGGGGGTGTCAGCAGGTTTTTCTCAAAAAAGTTGTTTTATGGACCACCCTATAGTACATGGCTGATGATTGTTGTATAGGTATAAAACTTATAGTTCTAGGAGAAGTTGTTTTTTCTCTATCTAAATATATATATATATATATATATATATATATATATATATATATATATATATATATTATATTATATTATATTATATTATATTATATTATATTATATTATATTAAAATAATAATAAAATTAAATTTGTAACATAACTCAGAGTTTCATGCTATATGCGATCATCAGGCGTTACAAACCATAACAACAACAAAAATTATATACAAAAATACAATACAGTGTTTGCCTAGATGATGTTAAAGTTGCAGATAACAAATTTGTTTTCGTGGCGACATTTCGATATTTCGAAATGTCGCCACGAAAACAAATTTGTTTTCTGCAACTTTTTCTGCAGTATATATTTGCTCTACTTTTGTATTGAGCACTGTCTACCAAAATATTACTTATATTACTGGTGTATATATATATATATATATATATATATACATATATATATATACACCATTCTATTTAGAAAGTTGTTTACTTTCTTTATTATTGAGCACTCTTAAACGAAATAGAGTTTTGTGTTATTATTGTAATAAAACATTAAACATCAATTTATATATATATATATATATATATATATATATATATATATATATATATATATATATATATATATATATATATATATATATATATATATATATATATATATATATATATATATATATATGTATATATATTAATGCATGTTTAGAAAGTATCTCTGATGTCACTGAAATAACTTGTTGCCTGGGGCTTCAGTACATACATTGACTATCTTATAGCCTTATCTTTATACTTTGTTTTTTCTTTTTTTTCTGAAAAATGCTGTATGCTATAAAGATAAAAAAAACTAGTAACAATTTGTTGTCTCTATAGTCTATAGTAGATATAAATTATACTGCCCTTCCTCCTTCAAACTTTAACAACAAGTTGTATTGTATGTGCAAAGCAATTATAATATGTTGATAGTAGGCAGACCAGTGAATCAGAACCTGACTTCTCAAATTTTTTTTTGGAAAAAATAAACAAGCTAATAATTTAAAAAAGTTAATTGTTTTTTTTTTTAATTTGATAAATGAATCAAACCTGATATTTTATTAAAAAAATACACATTTGGCTTTCAAATAATGTCATTAGCAACAATATACATAGGTTTTATTTTAACTTAATAATTGTTTAAACACATGTAAAATGTTTAGAGAAAATAAAAATTAAAAATTTTCTACAATTTATATTTTTGTTTATTAAAATTTTCAGTTTTTAAAATAATAATTAATAAATCAACATTTCAAAGAGCTAATAAATTGGTTCCAAATATATTGTCAGTTAATGAGGGCCTTAAGAACTTATACTTAAAAGTTAAAAAATATGAGGCTTTTGCATGTGTCTAAAATTTTCTTGCAGGTCCTATTGGTCTAGTAACTCTATTAGTTGCAAAGGCTGCTGGAGCAAGTCAAATAGCTATTACAGGTATTTTGATAAAAATATAATGCAATGTTTTTTCAACAGATATATGTCATTTGAACTCTAAATATGAGTATTTTTTATTTAGATATAGATGAAGGACGTTTAGAAATGGCGAAAAAATTTGGTGTTGATAAAGCATTTAAGGTAACTTCACGAGATGGAAAAGAGGTTGCAAACATGATTATAAATGAGTTTGGCCAAGCCAATAAAACCATAGAATGTACTGGTGTAGAATCAAGTATACAAACAGGAATTTTTGTAAGAAAATTTTGTTTTGTCTTTAATTGGCTCATTAATCTTTTCTATTAGAGTGTTTATTCTCCTCAAAGCTATTAAACATTTAATAGTTCTTTAATATTAAAAAAAAAGTTTGTACCTTATACAAAGCTGAAAATTTTATATAAAAGGCCTTCAGTGTTTATAAAAAATTAAATGTTAGGATTTATTTTACTCATATACTTATCATAATTTCTGTTAGTTTAGGCTATATGTGAGGCCCTGTCCTAATTTATTTGTAAATTTTAAATAATCTCATATTTAAAACTTTCAGAAAAAGAAGAAATAAAAACAAAGAATGATGAATAAAGAGGAGAAGCAACCTTGATAAAATAACTATGAAATAAAAATGTAATTTTCATGAGAAAAGTCGTTAATGAAAAAAAAATTTGAGATGGTGTCAAGCAAAAAGCTCATTAATAATTAATTTGAAAGTATCAACATTAAATTTTAATCATTAATTTGAAAGTATCAACATTGTTGTGATAACAAATTTAATTTAAATCATTTCAAAATAGATTTAATGTTGATTTAATGATGAATAATTAAAATAATGGAATAAATAATTTAATTAAAATAATGGAATAAGTGATTTAATTAAAATAATGGAATAAGGGATTGGTTAAATCAAGTAATAGAATAAGTGACTCTTATTAATATATATTTTTGTTATTTGTTTACGTATTTCAGCATCAGAATTTTATTATCAGAAATTTAAATCATTTCAAAATAGATTTAATGTTGATTTAATGATGAATAATTAAAATAATGGAATAAGTAATTTAATTAAAATAACGGAATAAGTGATTTAATTAAAATAATGGAATAAGGGATTTGTTAAATCAAGTAATAGAATATGTGACTCTTATTAATATATATTTGTTTACGTATTTCAGCATCAGAATTATCAAAGAGAGAATTAAAGAATTCACTTCATAATTTTGTTAAAGTGCATCATGAAGATAGTAAATGTAGGAGAGATTAACATGCTAGACTAATCAATATCTAAAGTATATCTAAAGTAATAATACCTAAAGTACAGTAATAGACTAATCATATCTAAAGCCTTAGATATGCTAAGAGCAATTATCTTTTACTTTCTCTTTCTATATCAGGTTCATCTAATGCACTAAAGAACCATTTGGTTAGTTAACTATAATAACTTTGCTACTACGTTAATAAATTGCCAGTAAAATCTGTATTGCTTAGAAGTGTAATAAGTTGAAGAAGAATGTATACTTAAAAGTAGTTGTTATACTTAAAAGAAGAAATTAGAGATTAGGTGAGATTAACATGAAAAGTAGAATATTTGGTCTTAATTAACTTATATACAGTGGGTGGCCATCACATTAGGACCAGTATTAATATTTCATAAGGATTGTGTAAAAATGAATTTTTAAGCAAAATGGAAAACAATGGTATAATTTAAAACAGGTTTTTTTATTTGCAAAATGTTTGTCACAAAATGGGCGTGACAAATCTTTTTTTTTTTAATAAACGTTGGCGTTCGTTTCTTTATTTATTGACGAACGTCTAATTTAAGAGGATGTCAAATAACCCCCCATCCTCCCCCAATACACACTTTTTTTAGCTCTTTTTTTTTCTGTTTTTTTTTTTAAAGAGAAATTCTAGATAAAGAAGACTTTTTTTTATTAATAGATGGTAGTAGACCTCTACTTCGAAACTCGTGCCGTAGGCCATGAATATGCCAGTTTTATTTTCAATTCTTTCAATTTTTTATTTAAATAATTTTTATTAAATTATAAGGGAGTTTTTCTTTCAAATAACTTTTATTATAGTTAATAAGATATACAATAATTAGATATATCTAAGATGCTTATTTAATTTTATCAATTTTTTATTAATTTAAAACAATTTTTCACGCGCAAATTAATGATAACTAATATACAATAACCTTGTGACTGTTATCCTTTAATACAAAATAGTAATTTTTCTCAATTTAGTATGTTAAATTTATTTACTTATAAAAAAAACGTATAAACTTGAAGAAATCTGAATACTATCCGATCAAATTGTTGACGTTTAAAACATGATTTAGATTGTTGTGTTGATTTAATATGTATCCTGCCTTTACTCGGCTCTCCTAATCTTATTAAACTGATCTATTCTTTTGAAATTGGTTTACAGGGTTTTGCAAAGTTATAAGTGCACGTTTGCAAAGTTATAAGTGCACATTTGCAAAGTTATAAGAGCACGTTTGCAAAGTTATAAATGCATTTATAAAATTAATTTTAACTCTTATATTTTAAATATCAATAGAAAGAAAAGTACGGAAAACAATTACAGAAGAAATTAAAAATACGATTATTTCAATGAGAAATTGTGAAAAATATTAAATCAAGGAAATATCCAACGCTTGTAATTTAACTCGAAATGCTGTTGGTCGTGTTATAAAAAATAGTGATAATAATATACCCTTCACGTCATCTACAGTAAAAAGAAAAGAAACGTATAAAATCAAAAATTCTATAAATACAAACATTGAACAGACAATATTTAATTTCGTGGTCTGTAACAATGCCGTAGTTCAAAAAGAAATTCAAACGCAAATTTTAGAACAACATGGTAAAAACGTTTCAATCTCGTTTGTTTCCCGTAAATTAAAGGAATTTAATTTGACACGAAAAAGATTAGCAATCACTCCTCAAGAAAAAAACACCATGGAAAGAATAAATCAGAGATCAATTTTTGCGGCAGAAGTTGATGATTCAAATTTGGTTTTTTTAGACGAAACCGGATTCAATAAACATACAGTACGCTCAATGGCTATTCTCCAAAAGATACAAAAGCGTACTTGACAGTTCCTGCAAATAAAGGACAAAATGTTAGCCTCATGTGCTTAATTTCCAATTTAGGAGTTGAATGTTACCAATACAAAAGCGGCGCATACAATACACAATCATTTATTGATTTCAACAAACTAGTACCATTCTTTGCAGTAAATCCAGATAAAATTCTTATCCTAGATAAAGCAAAATTTCATAAAGCAGCTGCAGTACTTCAATTACTAAGAGAAAAAAATATTACCCACAAGTTTTTAGTACCATACTACCCTGAATTGAACCCAATCGAAGAGTTCTTTTCAATGTTTAAATCCAATTTCAAATCCACGAGAAATGCTAATCCCGATATGACTGTTAAAGAGACTCTAAAATATATTTTATCACCTGATAATAATTATAGTCAACAGTGCAATGCCTTTTATATAAATATGAGAAGATGGTTGGAAAAGGCAATAAGAAGAGAAGAATTTATCTAATTAAAATATTTAAAATGATCTGTTTATTTTTTTTAATAATGTATATTTTTGCATGCCTTTTTAAAATATTATGATTAAATAATTTATACTATTTTTCAAAAATTATGAAAGTGTTTAATCTAGAAAAGTTATTGATATATAACAATATGCTAAATTAAGTAAAAATGTAAAGAATTTTCACTAACTAATCACTTTTTAGAAAAAAAACAAAAAAAAAACACTTGATTGCTATGCTGTAATTTAATTTAATATTTTGCGCAATATTATTAAAGCTAAAAAAATAATTTCCAAAAAAATGTATATGCACTTATAACTTTGCAAACATGCACTTATAACTTTGCAAAACCCTGTAAAATAATTTAAAATAATTTTTTTTTTTTTTTTTTTTTTTTTTTTTTTTTTGTATGTTGGTATTGTTGAATTTGGAAAAATATTTTCTATATATTCTCGTTCTATTTGTAAATTTTTTTAGTGCACTAAATCTGCTGGTGTTCTTGTTGTTGTTGGCATGGGTAAAGCAGAAGTGACTCTTCCCATTGTCAATGCTTTAGTTAGAGAAGTTGACGTAAGAGGAATATTTCGCTATGCCAATTGGTACTTTTTTAAACTTTTTTAACATATTTATTATATGTTTACTGAAGTGTCTAGGTATTTCTAATCTTTTTTCTCTTAATTTTAGTTATCCTGCCGCTTTGGAATTAGTATCTTCTGGAAAAGTCGATGTAAAACCTCTTATTACACACCGATTTACTTTGGAACAATCTGCTGATGCTTTTGCTATGTCTGCATCTCAAAGTGATGGCGCAATAAAAGTGATGATTTCGTGCCATCAATAATTCATGAACGTTTTCAAATTAAATTTATTTATTTTCTAACACATTTAGAATTCTAAATGCGTTATAAACAATTAAACTTTGTTGCTTAGGGACTTTCTTTGTGAGTATTGTTTGTGAGTTGTTGTAACACGTTTATTTGAATAAGGTTTGTCTGACGTTCAATCTTGTTCAATCTATTTCTTGAATGCGATGACTCCACTTCATTTTTTGATTTAATCGCAAGTTTAGATTGTTATCGTATCGTTAACGTTAAAAAAGTAATTAATGAAACTTAACTTTCTTAATGGGAATGTTTAAAAAACAAAACAAACAAAAAAGGTTTAACAAAAACTAATATTAATTAAATATATAATATAAGAAAAATAATATTGCTATTTTTAAACGAACAAAAATATTTGCTCGCGTCGATTCCGATCGGTAGCACGCACAAACCAATTCAAACCAACTCGTAAGCTCATTCATTATATCAAGTTTTCGGAAATGTTAGATATGAAATATGATTTCTATGTTTTCACGTGTTTCTTTTCGTGATACTTCAGCATCCATAAAATACGTTTTGTTTGTTTTATCCTCTTTTGCTTTACTTTCGAAATAGTTTAATGTTTGATGTGCAAGGAATCGACTGTCTAGTTATTGTCCTACTTATGATATGATTTGAATGAAACTTCAGGTATTAACTCTCTAATTCTTTTTGATATAAAAATTTACATATATATATATATATATATATATATATATATATATATATATATATATATAAATATATTTTCAACAGTACAAAATTCTAGGAGAGGTGCATCTTTTCTCAATGAAATTTTTCTTGAGTTTTTTTTCGGCGGGTAACTCCGGACATTTAATGTACAGCTTAAACTAAAGAAGCAATGTCACATTAAATACTAGGGTTCATTATCGAAATTGCAATCATCGAAAATTTTCGACTAAAACGTTATCGAAATACTTCTTTTTTTTCGAAATCTAAAAAAACTTTCGAAAATAATCGAACTAGCCATATCAATTTCGAAAACAAAAAGTAATTTCGAAATAAAAAGATGGATTTCGAAAAGGAAAATTTATTTCGAAAGGAAAAAAAGAATTTTAAAATGTGAAATTAATTTCGAAATAAAAAGGTAGATTTCGAAATAGGAAATTAATTTCGAAAGAAAAAAAAGAGTTTCGAAATCTCAAATTAACTTCGAAAAAAAACAGTGTATTTTGAAAAGTCAAATTAATTTCAAAAGAAAAAAAAGAATTTCGAAGTGTGAAATTAATTTCAAAAAAAACTAGGGTTGTTCACGAAAGCCAAAGTTGAATTTTCGATTAAAAAAAAAGTTTTCGAAACTCTATTTTCGTTTCGGTAAGTTCGAAATAATTTTAAAGTAATTAATTTTGCATCGAAACGATTTTTTTACTTTCGAAGTTGTAAAATTTGCTTCGAAATATTTTTGCGATTTCGAAATTCTGAAAATATTGTCGAAATAATTTTTTACTTTCGGAATTGTAAAATTTGCTTCGAAATATTTTTGCGATTTCGAAATTCTGAAAATATTATCGAAATAATTTTTTACTTTCGAAAATGTAAAATTTTCTTCGAAATATATTTGCGATTTCAAAAATCGAAAAATATTACCGAAAAAATTTTTTACTTTCGAAAATGTAAAATTTGCTTCGAAATATATTTGCGATTTCGAAAATCGGAAAATATTACCGAAAAAATTTTTTACTTTCGAAATTGTAAAATTTGCTTCGAAATATTTTTGTGATATCGAAATTCTGAAAATATTACACAATATTACTATTAAATTCTAAAATTTGCTTATATTTATTTTATTACTGAAATTGTACAAAATTTTATTAAAATATTTTTATAAATAATTAAATTTTAAAAATTAACATAAAATAATACTTAAAATTTTTGGTGTTACGGCCAGAGAAAAGGGTTTAACTACCTCCCACTATTTTATAGAAGAATCTGCAATTAATTTAATAATAACTCAAATATCGTTCGCAAATCACCTCACATATTTAAGCCTAGCGTGGTTTCGGATTTTGTGACACTTTGGGGAGCTTTTTTATTTTTAGTAACAGGTTTTTTTAAATTTTGGGGCCCTAATGACTTTTTTAGTGTAAACGCTGTATACACTGGTTTGATAATGGCTCTCTGAAATGCCAGTCCTGGCTAGCCGTAAAACGAGTATTGCTGAGCAGCGCAAGTGTTATTGCCGAAGCGTAACATCAGACATCTGACCAATATATGGGTTTATATGTATTGTTTGCACTGATAAGTCCATAGACGTAGAGTTTTTATTTTTCCAGATTGGGCTCAAACAGTGGCGTCAATTCAGAAAAAACTTATAAGGAGGGGCCAATTTGTGAAAACAATTTAACTGTTCCCCCCCCCCCCCCTTCACAAACCAAAATCATAACATTGAGCAGCACAATTCAATTTTGTTTCTTGGGTATTTTGTTATTTGTTTTAATATCTGTAAATTTTTAAAAATAAAGTAGAAGGTCAGCTTAAAAAAATTAGCAAAAACTAAATTATTTTTCGAATTTTTCTCTAAAATCCTATAAAGATTATCTGGTTAAACAAGAAATATAGAATTTTGACAGTCCCTTCTAAGAACGCATAGTTTACAGCACGCACATAAGTCATTATTATTCCTCAACGGCAATTCCCTTGAGGTCTTAAACGCATGACATGAAATCATTGTTGCAATGTAAACGGCTAATTACTTTCTATTGGTTATTTAGAGATTTGCAACGGTTTCAAATCGACTTATGCCTTTGCGATTTTTGTGTTACATAATTCTAAAAATGGTGTAATTTTATATTAAAGTTATACCAATCTCATTAATATCTCGGAAACGTAAGTGAAGTAACATGTGGTACAAATTTATCTTATCATAAGTTACTAATTTGTTAATATTTGTTACATACGAACGAGTAAAAAAACTACTCGCTTTTTAGTTTGAATAAACAATGTCAAAAACAAATAAATCCGTTATTAAGAAAGGAATAAGAAAACGAAGCTTCGTTTGGACATATTTCGAAATGGACCAAAAGAATCAAACAAAATGCAGCATATGTTATAGGATTTTACCTTACAACAGTTCGACCAGTTCAATGCAATCCCATTTATCAATTGATCATTGCATTAATTCTAAAATATCTAAAAAATCAACAACTTTACTCAACGATGACGATATATCCGATATTGAGAGCGGTAATGAGAATGATTTTGAAGAGACTGGTCATAAAAAATTAAACAGGTTATTGGTGAATTTTATTGTTGGTACCGATCAGCCGATTTCGATAGTACGTCATCCAGACTTTGTAAACTTAGTTAGTGAGTTAAACAAAAGCTACAAAATGCCATGCATAAATACGGTGAGCAAGAAATTAATTCCATCAATTACGGACAATCTTAAATCAATTTTAATGCTAGAATTGAAGGGATGTCGTTTCATTACAATTACTTGTGATAGTTGGTCATCATTAGGTAAAAACAGCTACCTCGGTGTGACTTGTCATTTTATTGACAAAAATATGACTCTAGTTGACCGAAACCTGGATCTTAAGTTTATGTCTGAAATGAAAACAGCTGAATATTTATTTAATACGTTAAACGAAATCTTCAGTGAATGGTCAATCAATAATAAGATTTTTGCACTAGTTACTGACTCAGGTGCAAATATTTTCTCTGCAGTAAATAAATTTGATGATAATGTTCTTAAGATTCCGTGTGCTGGTCATCGTTTGAATCTCGTGGTTAATGGTCTTCTAAACGCTAGAGATGTAAAAGTAAAAAAATTTAAAAATGGGTCAAAGCGTTACGAAGTAAAAGATTACGACGGTAATGGAAAACTAATTAATAGAGAAATTATAGAAAGTGAAGTTAAAGAAATTGAAAAAATTAACGAAGGCAAATTAGAAATCGCCAAGGTAATTTCATCCTGCAGGCACATTGTTGGTTCATTTAAGCATTCAGAGATGTTACAAAAAAAGTTAAAAGAAGTTCAAGAAACACTTCGTTATGAAACTAAAATAAAGTTAGTACAGGATATAGCTATTCGCTGGAATAGCCAATTCGATATGATTGAATCTATATTAACAAATAAAACTGCATTGGATATGATAAGCGTCGAATTCCAAAATATAAAAGACTATCTTCCCACTGCTACTGAATTTAAGGTGCTGGAGGATTTGTGTGATTTGTTACACCCAATTAAAGAGCTAACAAAACTTTTTAGCGGAAAGAAATATGTTACAGTAACATTCCTGTTTCCAACACTGTATTCTCTACTAAATGAAATACTTGAATCGCAACCTATTTTTACAGAACTAGTTAAGACTATTCAAAAGGAATTATTAAGGTCTCTAAAAGGACGTTTTAAATACATTTTTGCTAATGATTTTTTTTTAGCAGCTACTTTTCTTGATTTCAAATTTCGTAAATTCGAGTTTATCAAAAATGATATCTATAGATATGAATGCATTTCAAAGGCAAAAATGTTTATAAAAACATTTTATGAAATGCATCTAAAAGAAACCGAAGAAATCGATATAACAATTGAAACAAATTGTTTAAATAACACTTTGAACTCGTCAAACAGCTCAGCTGACAATACCATAAAAACATTTCAGCAATTGTCAACGTCACCTATTGCAAATAATATTACTTTAGTTAACAACAAAAGACGAAAGTCAATCAACTTAATTGAACTAGTAACAGATAAATCTTGCTGTAATCTAATTGAGAGCAATGATAAACTTGAAAAAGAAATAAATGATTACAGTCTGCAATACTTTCATAGCTACGAAAATAGTGCCATTGAATTTTTCCAAGCTAATCAAAAATTGTTCCCGGTTTTGACACAAATTGCACGGATAATATTTTCAGTTCCAGTGACATCCGTGCCATCAGAATGCTTATTTAGTTCAACCGGTTTAATAGATACGGAGCTACGGAACAGGCTTGCGCCAAGCTTATTGAAGCAGTTAGTTTTTATTAAAGAAAACAAGTAATCAAAAACATTTCTTTATTAAAATAAAAAAAATTATTTAGTAAAAGTGTATTTTATAAATCTTAGTAATTTAAAGCACTTGTATTCTTTTTTTTTATCTGATGAACTTTTTTACAAACAGCTTAATTAATGACAATA